ATTGCTTGGGTGCTAGGGATCTTCCCTGCAGCAATGGAGAATACCCAGGAGAGAGAGCATTCTTCAAGTGCACAGCGGTGTATGGATCCATCGGTTGTAGCTGGTAACCAGGGACTTGTCTGCCGGCAGCGTGGAGTCAGGCTGGTCCTCAGAGCAGCTGAGGCATGGAGTTGGGTCACAGGACAGGGAGGAGGACAGAGGGGGAGGCGGGGAGCTATGGAGGATCATAGATAGGGAGGGGCACAGGCCTGGGTACAGAGGGCATAGATGGGGCAAGGGCATGGATCAGACCCCAGGCTGCGGGTGCTGGGCACAACCAAATGCCTGGAGGAGGGTGAGCTGTGGAGGACCACAGACAGGAGAGTATGCGGCTTGGGAAGACAGAGGGTTTGACGACTGGGGTTAGATGAAGTTAGGGGTGTGTCTCCATGGTGGGATTATTGCCCATATGAGAAGCAGAGATATCAGAACTCACTCTCTCTGCCAAGTTGGGACACAGAGGATGTGCCATCTGTTTACCAGACAGGCTGTTAGCCAACGTGGAATCTGCCAGTACCTTCATGTTGAACTTGTAGCATCTAGAACCGTAAAATAAATTTTAAGTCCCCTAGTCTGTGGTATCTGTTTTGACAGCCTGAGCTGAGACTCAGTGTAACTCAGGTGAGTGGTCTGTGCTCATAACCTGGGTGCAGAGGGCATAGATGAGTGAGGGCATGGCTCAGACTGCAGGCTGTGGGTGCTGGGCAGGAACACAGTGCCCTGGAGCTGGCTCAGGGGAAGGGTGATGATGGGCAGAGAGCAGCACCCAACCCTCTCCTGGCGGGTCAGCCTCTTCCCAAGAGAGGCCCCCGGACCTCTACCAGATCTCTGATTCCCATCCTCTCATTCTCCTAAAGGTAGCAAAACTGCTTTCTCTGGCTCCCCAGTAGACCCCTGCTAAGTGGAGCTCACCCTCTCGCCTGGGTGGGCCCAGCATCCTCTTCACCTTGTGCTGGGGTCATGGGGATGGGGGGCAGCCATCCTGGGGTGGGAAGTGGCTTGTGTCATCCACACCCCCTGCCCCGTCCTGTCTGCCCACCTCCCGGGGCGGGGTCCCTGGGAAGTGAAGGTCACGGGATGGGATGTAGGGACCCTCACTCCCATGTAAAGATGCCAGGGACACCCAGCCAGGCCAGGCATGGCCGGGAGGGGCCAGGGATAATGAACCCACCCCAGCCACGTGTGTGGTTAGGGTGGCTGACCTTGGGCACCTGTGCTAGGCCCCCAGCGGCTCCTCTCAACCTAAAGGCTGCAGCATGCTCTGGTGATCGCTGATCTTGGGGTGGTTCTGCTCCCCTCTGGGCGGTGGTCCTGGGTGCTCCTATGAGTGGTCCTGGATCTCCCTTTTTCCGTTCCTCCCTGCGCTCCAGGACGCTGGTCTGAGCAGGGGTCCCCGCCCTCACCATCACTGGCACACACAAGCCTCTCCTCCCCCAGCAGCCCTGAGCCTCTGCCCTCTGCCTCCCTGGGGCCAGGGGTGAGACCCAATCTGGGGCAGTGACACCCGGGCTATTTTGGAGCTGGGCTGGGCTGGGCGGGCGGGCGCTGTGGGGGCGGGGCGGGGGCGGGCCCGGCCTTCTTCAGCGGATGTATCCGCCTGTCCTTTCGTCCCCGTCCAGTTTGAGGACCGGCAGGCGTGCGGGCTGCTGGGTGGGAAGCTTGTCGGTCCTGGGCCCCCGGAGGAGGTGAGACCCAGCAGCCCCCGCCGCACCATCTGAGCGCCTCGCCTGGGTGCTGCCTAGTGCCCCCGGGAGAGACAGGTGAGGAGGCAGAGCGCAGGAGGGCTGGGGGGCCAGCCAGGGCCCCTGAGGACGGCGGAGCTGAAGGTCACGGCTCTGGGGGACGGAGGGACCTGGGCTAGAATTTCAGCCAGGCCACGCTGCTCCTGGGGTTGGGGCTGCGGATTCCAGCCCCTGGCGCGTTGGTGGATGGAGCCAGACCCGCATGTGGGGAGGCAGCAGCTGGGGCAGGCGGGGGGCGTCCGAAGCGCCCACCTCCCCTCTGCCTAGTGCCCTGAGGGTCCGGCTGGCCCTGCCCCCAGCTCTGTTGAGATGGATGCCCGCTGACAGCTGGGGCTATTTTGGGCCTGTTGGCTCAGCAGAGGGGACAGCCAGAGGGGCAGTGACACCTGACTCCAGGAAAGAATTTCCCCTGGAGTTTGGGAAGCTGGAAGGCCCAAGAGGTCTAGGGGGGAAGCACAGACTGCAGGAGCTGCCCTTTGAAGTCTTTTCTGGAAGGGTGTGGGGGCAACACAGTGGGGAGAGGAAAGCGGGGGAGACAGGGCCTCTGGGAGGGGGCCGGCCCAGCGGCTGCGAACCACTTCTCACTCTGGGCTCATCTGGAAAATGGCCCAGTCCCACCAGGACCCAAGAGTGGCCAAGTTCTGGGAAAGCGAGGGGCTGTAGGTGTGACACGGGTCAGCCACAGGCTCCCTGGTAGACTTTCAAGCGGGGAGGGTCTTGGCCTCCGGGGGAGGAGCCTGCCAGTGCCAAGATGGGGGCTCCAAGGGGCTGAGGAGCCCAAGCGGAGTCCACAGGTGGGCATCTGAGGGAGGAAGGGGCTTCCCTGAGATGCTGGGGTTCGGGTCCTGGCTTGGTCTCTCCTCCTGAAACACCTGATCCTGCCATTGTGTCTGTAGCTCCCGTGGCCCCAGCTCCCACCATGGCAGGGGGAGGAGGAGGAGACTATGGATGAACCTGGGCCCAGAGGGGCCTTGGGTGGTCCCCACCCCACACTCAGCTTGAAGCAGGGTGGCTCCAGAGTCCTCTGGCATACCCCGGGCTACCTTGGCCCTGATGTCCAGTGAGGATGCATGCCTGGTGTGGGGTTGTCAAGGGGGGTCTTAGACCTCCATGGTTCTGCTGCACTGGGAGTGGGGCATGCAGGCCCTGGACAGAGGATTCATCTACACGGCTTTAGAGGATCTTGGAGTCTCTGCCCACCCTTGCGCACCTGCTGAGAGCTGGCTCCCCCTAAGTATGTGCAGAGATGAGACCTCCCCATCCTTCTTTTCTAGGGCCCAAGGGGCTTCCAGCTGTGGAAGTGGCCCCCTGACCCTGCACAGACTTGCTCATGAGCTCAGAGCAGGTGTCTTCCCTCCCACACCTGCTCTGGGTGTGGCAGGGGCAGGGTGCCATGTCCTGCCTTAGGGAACCCCCAGATTGACTGTATAATTTAGGAGGCAGTGGTGTGTTGGGAAGAGATTAGAACTCAGGCCCCTGGGGAACTGGTGTCAAAGTTAATTCTTCCACAGAGGGACACTGAGGCCCAGGAGGTTGTCCATGGAGGCTGGTGGCCACCCGCCCAGGTCCTTCTCAGGCCAAGAACCCAGCCAGGCCATGGGGGAGCTAATGAAGGGGGGGGCAGTGGGCAGGGCAGAGGTGCTGACTGCACAGTGAGTCAGCAGGCTGGTCCCAGCTTACCTCCTTGAGGGGGATTAAGCGGATTAGGTCCCGAATCACAGGATGGGGAGCTGGAGGGCCTGGGAACCTTGCCCTGTTTGTCCCACGGTGGGCAGCCCCATGCTGAAGGCCCAGCTCCCGGGGTGAAGAGTTAAGGCACTTGGGGACAGCCCAGGGCCCATGGGGCCCATTTGTGTTGGCTCTCCTTACAGAAGCCTGTGTGTAGGCAAGGCCCAGTTTCACTTCACCCACCGGCGCTGGGGGCCAGCAGGATCCAACCTGGAGTTGGCAGAGGCCGGTCGGTCAGAGGCGTTTGGCATTGCTGGTGCCAAACCCACCCCTGCAAGGTGTCCAGTCGGCAGAGCCACAGCCAGTGGAGACTCAGCCAAGACCTGCAGTGATGGGCTCCAGGCCCCCCACAGCCCCCTGGTTGGGCCTGGCTAGCTGGCCCACCCATTCTCAGCCTTGATACCCTTGGCTCCTCCTGCAGGGTTCTCGACTGTCCTCCACAGACACACCACTGACCTTCCCCACTGCGACTTCTGATGAAAGGAGGCAGGCACTCATAGCAAGAGCTCGTGGGTAGCCCTGTGTGCTGGAGGGGTGCCCACCCCTCCGGCTGTAGCATTTCCATTCTTTGCTCATTGATGAGCACCCCCTTTCAGGGGTCGAGGGGATGTGTGGTGGGACCCCAGGAGGGGTGAGATGTGACCCAGGACAGTGGCAGGAGGGACAGCCCTGTGTGCTGCACTCTCTGTTGGGGAATGTCCAGTGAGGAGGGCTGAACAGCTGCGCACACAGCCTGCAGGGCAGCCCGAATGCTTGAGTGCGGAACACTGCTGAGGAGAACGGGGAGCAAAGGGGGCAGGCCAAGCAGGGGCTCAGAGGAGAGCCTGCTGGGGCAGAGAACACACGACCTCTGGTGTGCCTTAGAGAGGACAGGCCAGCTGGGCACCTCATGAGCCTCCACGGCCACGGTGCAGAGAGTTCCCTCTTTCTGACACTAGGTAGATTGGAGTTTCAGGCTCCAGGAAGCAGCAGTGTGTGGGGAGATGGACACCTGATGGAACCCGGAGTGGCCAGGAAGGACGGGGAAGGTCCTGGTGGTGACATATAGCATGGCAGAGGCCGCGCAGGGAGGGCAGGCTTGGTGCTGGTGCAGTGTCTGGGGATAGGGGCCCAGCTGGATCTTGAGTCCGGGCAGCAGGCCTGGAGCTGGGACAAGAGGGAGGAGATGCTCCAGCCAATTAAAAAGAGCCCATTTGGGGGGTGGAGGTGGGGCCAAGCTCCAAGGCCCAGAAAGAGGCAAACTGGCACTCCTGGACCACCGTACTGTCTGGTGATGCCACCTGCAGGGACGGGGTGTGTGGGAGCAGATGGGAGCAGAACGGGGAGACATTCGCCTGTGTTAAGCTGAATTTTCCAGGCGGCACTGGGCCGGTGAAGTAGCCAAGGCGGGCGCAGGCACAGTGGCCAAGCGGGGCTCTGAGCACTCCAGGGACTCATCCCCACCATGCCCTCCCCACCCCACTCACAGGTTCTCCCGCCTCTGCCCCCGCCATGGACCACTCCTCGTTCAGCGGCGCGCCCCGCTTCCTAACCCGGCCCAAGGCCTTCGTGGTATCGGTGGGCAAAGATGCCACGCTGAGCTGCCAGATCGTGGGCAACCCCAAGCCGCAAGTGAGCTGGGAGAAAGACCGGCAGCTGGTGGAGGCGGGTGGTCGCTTCCGCTTGGCCCAGGACGGCGACTTGTACCGCCTGACCATCCTGGACCTGGCGCTGGGCGACAGTGGGCAGTACGTGTGCCGTGCGCGCAACGCCATCGGCGAGGCCTTCGCGGCGGTCGGCCTGCAGGTGGACGCCGACGCTGCGTGCGCCGAGCAGGCGCCTCACTTCCTGCTGCGGCCCACCTCCATCCGCGTGCGCGAGGGCGCGGAGGCCACCTTCCGCTGCCGCGTGCGCGGCTCGCCGCCCATATCGGTGAGCTGGGCCAAGGACGGGCGGCGCCTGGGTGTGCTGGACGCCCCCCGAGTGCGAGTGGAGGAGAGCGGCGAGGCGAGCGCTCTGCGCATCCGCGCCGCACAGCCGAGAGACAGCGGCACCTATACGGTGCACGCGGAGAACCCGCTGGGCGCCGCCAGCGCCGCCGCCGGGCTGACGGTGGACGCGGAGGCGGAGGCAGCCAGCCCGCCCGGGGCCTCCACCGCCATGCTCCTGGCGCACCTGCAGCGGCGGCGCGAGGCCATGCGCGCCGGGGGCGCCCCGGCCTCGCCGCCGATCGCCGGCACGCGCACCTGCACGGTGACAGAAGGCAAACACGCGCGCCTCAGCTGCTTCGTGACGGGCGAGCCCAAGCCTGAGATCGTGTGGAAGAAGGATGGACAGCTGGTGGTGGAGGGCCGGCGGCACGTGGTATACGAGGACGAGCAGGAGAACTTCGTGCTGAAGATCCTCTTCTGCAAGCAGTCAGACTGTGGCCTCTACACCTGCACGGCGTCCAACCTCGTGGGCCAGACCTACAGCTCGGTGCTCGTCGTCGTGAGAGGTGAGCTCCTGGCGGCTGGCACGAAGTCGCTGTGTGCAGTGAGCACAGGCGGAGGTCCCTCCCCAGGCCTTCCATCCCTTCCTTCCAGCAGCTGCTGCCCCTGCCATTTCCCTATCGTGTAGAGAAATCCGTGGCTGGAGGTCTTGGCGGCTCTTGCTGTGGTGTTTCATTGTCTTTGTGAAAGTAACACGCGTGTACAACCAAGTGCTTGTCACTAACACCCCCTCCCAAGGGAGATGGTTGCCCCGTGGCTGAGCCTGCCCTGTCCAGGCTGAGGGTGACCCAGGCTCCCCCCTCTCCTACAGGATGCTGGTAGGGGGGGATCTCCCCAGCAGAGCTGGAGGGAGGCGGGAGCAAGGACAGATCTCGGTGCTGGCCGCAGGCTGGGCTGGGGCGCAGACTGAACGTGACTCTGGGTCAGTTTGCAGGCTCCTGTCCCCAGCGCACCGGGGCAGCTGTGGACAGCACCGTCAGAACTTGCTGGGGGACTGTTCCTTCTTGTTTCCTAAGACCACCCTCGATGTGGTTGGAGTACCACCTCCACTTTTTCCCAGCTGTAGGATCTCCCGCAGGGCGCTTCAAGCTCTGTGTGCGTGTGTCTGCTTCTTCGTTTTTCTGTTTTTTTTTTAATGCAGGGAAGTGTGCTGGGCTTGAGCAGTTTTTCAGGCCAGTACTTGCCCAGTGGGCTCCCTGCTGTGTGAGTCCAGCCTCTCCTGACTGTCCGGGACCACCAGCTCAGGGGGCTGCCCCGCCGTGCTGCTTGCTGTGACTTCACCTGCGTCGTTTCTCCTTCTTCCTTCTCTCTATTCTTGGGGGAAGGGACTCTTTCTTTAAGTGCTGTTCCCTCTCCACTGTCCTCCCTCCTCTGCTCTCCCCGTACCTCCCTCTGTCCCCGCTCCCTGAAGCTCCTCTGCCCTCTTACCCACCCTCTGCCCGCAAAGCCCCCAACCCCTACCCTGGCTCCCTGCCCCCACCCCACCTTATACCTGCCTTTCCCTGCCTCCTTCCCTTCTTGCAGCCCCTTCCCTGCCCCTCTGCACTGCCCTCTCACCCCCAGCCTCTGGCGCCGCTCCGGCCTGCCCCTCTTCCCCTCCCCGCCCCACTCATCTGGCCCTTCTTCTGCAGAGCCCACGCTGCCCTTCAGAAAGCGCCTGCAGGACCTGGAGGTACCGGAGAAGGCATCAGCCATGTTCCAGTGTGAGGTGCCGACGCCGGACGTGGAGTCCGCCTGGTATAAGGAGGAGACGCGGCTGTGGGCCAGCGCCAAGTACCTCATCGAGGAGGCGGGCGCGGAGCGCCGGCTGACGGTGCTCAACGTGACCTCTGACGACGACGCCGTGTACATCTGTGAGACCGCAGAGGGCAGCCGCACGGTGGCCGAGCTGGCCGTGCAAGGTGCGCGGGCCGCGGGCCGAGAGGCTGGGCAGCGTGTGGGTCTCCCAGGACCTGGGCCAGTGACCGAGGCCCTGGGCGGCGGGGCAGGCAGGATCCCAGGACACGGCTGGGTCAGGGAGGGGCGGGGTGGGAACTCTGGACGCAGGGGCGGGAAGGAGGTGTGGGTGGGCAGGCCTGTGGGAGTCGCTCTGACCAGCTCTACCCCCTTCCCCCTCGCCCATGCTCCTCTGCCCACCGCAGGCAACCTCCTTCGGAAGCTCCCGAGGAAGACAGCTGTGCGAGCGGGGGACACGGCCATGTTCTGTGTGGAGCTGGCCAAGCCGGAGGGCCCCGTTCAGTGGCTGTGGAACCAGAAGGCGGTGGTGGCCGGGGGCCGGGTGGCCGTCACTGCTGAGGGCACGTGCCACACGCTGACCATCTCTCGGTGCAGCCTGGAGGATGTGGGTGAGGTGGCCTTTGTGGCTGGGGACTGCCGGACGTCCACCCAGTTTTGCGTGTCAGGTAAGGGCCGTGGGAGCCCCTGTCGGATGGAGGGGCCCTGTCCCTGCCCACCCGCTGGGCCTTGCTCTGACTACTTGCCTGCTGCGGGGAGCACCGTGCATTGTAGACTGCCTAGGTTGTCGGGAATGCCTAGGTTGTAGATCTGGTTCTGTGGGGTGCGGGGAGCACCGTGCATTGTAGACTGCCTAGGTTGTCGGGAATGCCTAGGTTGTAGATCTGGTTCTGTGGGGTGCGGGGAGCACCGTGCATTGTAGACTGCCTAGGTTGTCGGGAATGCCTAGGTTGTAGATCTGGTTCTGTGGGCTGCGGGGAGCACCGTGCATTGTAGACTGCCTAGGTTGTCGGGAATGCCTAGGTTGTAGATCTGGTTCTGTGGGCTGCGGGGAGCACCGTGCATTGTAGACTGCCTAGGTTGTCGGGAATGCCTAGGTTGTAGATCTGGTTCTGTGGGGTGCGGGGAGCACCGTGCATTGTAGACTGCCTAGGTTGTCGGGAATGCCTAGGTTGTAGATCTGGTTCTGTGGGCTGCGGGGAGCACCGTGCATTGTAGACTGCCTAGGTTGTCGGGAATGCCTAGGTTGTAGATCTGGTTCTGTGGGCTGCGGGGAGCACCGTGCATTGTAGACTGCCTAGGTTGTCGGGAATGCCTAGGTTGTAGATCTGGTTCTGTGGGGTGCGGGGAGCACCGTGCATTGTAGACTGCCTAGGTTGTCGGGAATGCCTAGGTTGTAGATCTGGTTCTGTGGGGTGCGGGGAGCACCGTGCATTGTAGACTGCCTAGGTTGTCGGGAATGCCTAGGTTGTAGATCTGGTTCTGTGGGCTGCGGGGAGCACCGTGCATTGTAGACTGCCTAGGTTGTCGGGAATGCCTAGGTTGTAGATCTGGTTCTGTGGGGTGCCTGATTTGTCTGACCCTCCTCCATGATGGTCACACTAGGCGTCTGCAAAGGGCGAGTCCTAGCACTGCCCCCCCATCCGAAGCACAGCGTGTGGGGGAGCATTGCGTGTGTCCTCTTTCTTGGCCTTTGGCGCTGCGACCAGCTGGCACAGGATCAGCCCTTTGCTGGGGCCAGGGGTGTGCCCCTGCCCGTGGGTCTCAGCACCCTTGGAAGGGTCCTTGTGCCTTGCCTTAACCATCATCCAGCCCAAGATCCCAATGCACAGAGGGGGTCAAGGCTGAGAACTGGAAAGAGTCCCTTTCCAGGCCCCGTGGACAGCTCATGGTGGCCCTGGGCCAAGCGTGGCCTCTGAGGCCCGGGTACTTGTTCCACTGCAGACAGAGCTACGGTCACCAGCTGAGACTAGGGTGCTGGGCCCGTAGCATGGTCTTGGGCTGGCAGGCCCCTCGGGCTGTGGCCATTCCCACCACCAGGGCAGTGCTCCCGATCAACCCCCCTCCCCGGGAGGGCTGGGAGTTCTGTCACAAGAACTTTTCCCTACCGTGGTATTGGACCCAGGGCTTGGGGAGGGGGTTCCCAGTTTGTGACATGGGCCCGTCCTCTGCTTAGCCCCCAGGAGGCCACCCCTGCATGCTCCTGAAGCCCCTGTGGTGAAGGCCCGGACAGAGAGCTCCGTGACTCTTGCCTGGTCCCCACCACCCCCCGGGGACCGCCCTGCTGCCATCGAGGGCTACCTGGTGGAGAAGAAGAGACTGGGTGCCTACACCTGGAGCCGGTGCCATGAAGATGAGTGGGTGACCATGCCTGAGCTGACTGTGGCTGGCGTGGCCGAGGAGGGGGAATTCCAGTTCAGGGTGTCAGCTGTGAACAGCTTTGGCCAGAGCCCCTACCTCGAGTTCCCAGGAACTGTACACCTGGGTAAGTGCGGAAGGCTCTCCTCCACGGCACCCTGATGGCAGTCTGTGGGGCTGTCTGCTTCTGAATCACCCAGACCTAGAGTGTAGCCCAGTGTTGGAGAGGCCAGTGTGGCTCCTGCATCTTCTTTGTGGTAGGGGGCGGGCCCAGGATCCTGATGCTATTGAAGGCTCTTTGGTGGGAAGGCCAGGTGACCCCAGCACAGGACTCAAGCCCCCAGGAGCTGTATGTGCCCCCAAGCCCTAGGGCACGGGGCTACCCACTGGGTCTGTGGGAGCTGAGGGGATCTTGGGTAGCTCTAACTTGTTCTTACTCCACCCTGGGCCTGGCTTTCACTCAGGGTTTCCATGTGCTTGCCCAGTGGACTTCCTCGAGGAGGGGTTATTTGGGGCTGGGAAGTGGGGAGGGGCCCAACCACCTCCTGAAGCTCTCACTCCGCAGCTCCCCAGCTGGCTGTGAAAACGCCTCTGAAGGCAGTGCAGGCAGTGGAAGGCGGCGAGGTGACCTTCTCCGTGGACCTCACCACGGCCTCATCAGGGGAGTGGTTCCTGGACGGGCGGGTCCTCAAGGCCAGCAGCGTGTATGTGATACACCGGGATGGCACCCGCCACACTCTCACCATCCGCTCGGTGCCTGTCAGCCTGCACGGGGCGGAGCTCAAGTTCGTAGCTGATGGCATCGAGAGCAGCATCCGCATGGAGGTCCGAGGTAAGGACCCTGTCTTGTGACCCCAGGGCTTCCCCAGGCCATGTTTCCTTGAGGGATGGGGTGGGATGGAGTCCCTGCAGTCTCAGGGATCCTGGGAGATCTGTTGTAGCTCTCAGAGCAGCTGGGTAATGTGGGGCCAGGCAGTGGGGTGTGCAAGGCCGTGCAAGGCCACTAGATGTGAGTGGAGGACAGTCTAAAGAATCTGACGACGCCAAGCTTCAGTTCTGTGATCTGTGCCCCCGCCGCTTTCCTCCCCTCTCCCCTCCCCCTCTTGTTGATTCCTTCTCCTACTCCCCTTCTTGTCCTGTGTCTTCTTTTCTTGCCTCTCGGAGTCCGTTCCCCAATATCCGGCTCTTCCTCCTCTGTCCGCTGGCACTTTCTGCCCCCATCCCCTTCCTGCCATCCACACCCTGCTGTCCACGCCTTCACCCCCCTTCCCCACCCACCTCCTCTGGTCACTCGCCTCCTTTCACCGCCCTCCTCACTTACACCCGCTTGTCACCTGTCTGTGACTTCCAGCGGCCCTGGAGCTGACGGCCAAGTGTCCGGCACCCGCGGCGGCGGCTCGGGAGGTGCTGGCCCGGCTGCACGAGGAGGCCCAGCTCCTGGCCGAGCTTTCGGACCAGGCGGCAGCCGTGACATGGCTCAAGGACGGACACACCCTGTCTCCCGGCCCCAAGTATGAGGTGCAGGCCTCGGCCGGGCAGCGGGCACTGCTTGTGCGGGACGTGAATCGAGAAGACGCGGGCCTGTACGAGTGCGTCAGCCGCGGGGGCCGCGTTGCCTACCAGCTGTTGGTGCAAGGTGACACGAGTGTGTGTGCGCGCCTCCCCCGCTCAGCTCTGGAGAAGCCCTGAGTGGCAGGAGCCGCTGTCCTCGGCCCCCGTGGGGAAAGGGGGGGGGGAGCAGCTCTGCCAAGCCCGTGGCGGGGAGTAGGATGGGCTCAGGTTACCTGGTGGGAGGTCAGAGGTGTGTTGGGGGGGGTGCTCAGCCCACCCCGCGGAGACAGTGGGGGAATGGGATGGTGTCAGGTGACCACATGGGGAGGGCAGAGGTCTGGGCAGCTCTGCCGACCTCCTGAGCAGGCTAGGCGGCCAGGTCACCCCTGAGGGTAGGGTGGGGAAGCAGGAGCCCGGCCAGCCCCGGTGGGAGGGTGGGGGCAGGACCTCTGCTCAGTAGGGGAGGGCGGCACTTGGTGGTTGAAAGTCAGCCGCGCCGGCTGCTCGGTCTCCAGGTCTGGGCGAGGGCTTCTGTCTACCACGATCCTGAGGCACGAGCGTCTTCGTTTGCTAGCTGCGTGGGCATGTGTGTGGTTAGGGCTCTGTCAGCCCCCTGAGCTGCTTGTGTGCCCTTGTAGGCCTCACACCCTCTTTGTGAGGACACGGCTGGTGGCTATGTGGGTGCCGTGGCGGGGAGACCAGCCCACTTGGAACTGGAGACCTCAGACGCCTATGCGCATGCTCCCTGGTACAAGGATGGCGTGGAGCTCGGTTGCTCCTGCCGACACTTCTCCCAGGAGGATGTAGGCACACGGCACTGGTGGTGGCCGCCTCAGGCACTGTGCAGGATGAGGGCACCTCCTAGTGCTGAGGGGATGAGGACTCTGGACTCGACTGTGTGTCTGTGGTCACTGCCCTGCCTTCTGGGCTTGCTTTGTGGGGAGCAGTTCTGGCTGCTTCCAACTCTGTTGCGCTTGCAAGGCCAAGCTCTCTCACTTCATTTCTTCTGAGAATACTTGGGAGTAGGGGTAGTTACTCCTGGATTTGGGTAAAGAAACTGCCCACGAAACATATGTATGTATATATGTGTGTATATATATATAGGAAGAATACAGGTTTGTAGTATAAAAAATAGGAAGGAAATTTAAGACCCATCTCTTCTTTGTAAAGCTGAAATGAGGCAGAGCAGACCTAGAAAGGGTTGGAAGTGTCCTTGGAAGGTTAGGTTTGGACCTTGGTAAGTCTGAAGTCCTGGCTCTTTCTTGACACCATTGAGGTCTCTTGGCAGATTCTCCAAGTCCAGCTCTGCCCCATCCTGGCTTTCAGGAGGGTCTCTGCCTTGTCCCTGATGCGTCCTTCCATCTGCACACAGGCCCTAGGGCCATCTGCCCATCAGGAGCTCTGAGGCTGCTTCCCATCACGCCCAGGAGGGCTTGGAGTACCTGGACCACCTGTGCCCATGGAGGGTCCCATGTGCAGCCCCTAATCACAAAGGATTTTCATGGTGGATGTGAGACTTCCAGGTCTCGAGCACAGCTCTGTCATGACTCCAGGACTTGGAAAACCTCTCTTGGGCAGGACCTCTGACCGTGTATCCCTCCTGGTCCCTGGAGTCCTCATGGTGTTTTCCAGGGAGCAGCCGGCCCTGGGGGAGGTACAGGCCGAGGCGGGGCCGGTGCTACCCTGAGCTGTGAGGTGGCCAGGCCCAGATGCAGATGATGTGGTACAAGGGTGGGAAGGAGCTGAGCGCAAGCTCAAACGTGGGCCTGGAGGCCAAAGGCTGCACCTAGAGTCTGGTAGTGCAGCAGGTAGGGAAGAGATGCTGAGGAGCACAGCCGTGAGACCAGGGGCCAGAAGGTCTCCTTCCACAAGTCAGTTGATGAAGCAGACTTATAGCCACTGAACAGCAGCAGGCCTGGAGGAACCACTTCAGTGTGGACGGTGGCAGTCCCAGCAGACTCAGCAGGTCTGTGTCTATCAGTTACACAAGTAGCCCTAGAACTTAATGGCCCAATGGAGCAACCCATGGGCAGGAATTCAAGCAGCGTCAGTATGAGTGGCTCATCTCTGCTCTACCTGGTGTTGGCCAGGACGAGAGGATCCAGTCTGGCTTCATCTGTGTGTGTGATGTCCCAGGGGGCTGGCTGGGATGGCAGGCCTCTCTCTTCTAGTAATGTTGTCTGTCTGGGACCATGCTTTTCTCTCTCCTTGTGACATCTCATTCTGAAGGCCTTTTTCTCCATGTGCGTGGCCTGAGCTCCTTCATATAGTGACAGGGTTCCCTTCAGGGAATAGGAGATGCTACGAGGTTTGTTAAGGGTTGTTTTCATCAGCCACAGAGTGTTACATTCTGCATGTTCTATTGCACAAAGCCAGACATAAGGTCAACCTAGTTCCAAGGGATTGGAAAAGAAGACTTTGCTGTTAATGAGGGGTGCCTGACTCATTCGGGACAGTTTCTTACAGTCTACTACAGGAACATGGCTCTGTCTGTCTAGATCTTTCTTGAGCATGGGATAAAGATCTTTCTAATGCTTATTGCCCCATGCTCACAAGATGGCTTCCACAGCTCCAGCCATCGTGTTTAAGGTGGGAAGAATATGTGAGGACTGTGTGTGTGTTTGTTTTCTTTCCTTTTCACTACTATGTTGTCAATTATCACAAACTCAGCAGCCTAAAATAATGCCCGTATGTTAGCTCTTAGTCATATAAATCAGGAGTCTATAGATCTGGATTCTTTTTTCAGGGTCTCAAGCGCTGGAATCCATGTGCCCTCAGGCTGAGTTCTCTCAGGGTCTTTTCCAAGCTCATCCAGGTTGCTAGCAGAATTCATTTCCTTGTGATTCTGGGCTGTGTTCTGGCTGGCTGGCCCCTAGGGGCTGTTTTTAGGTCCTTTGCCACATGGCAGCTCATGTCCACTCACGCTTACGCTTAAAATCTCTTTGGCCAGGAAGCGCCCCCTCCCTTGTAAGGTCTCACCTGATTGGGTCAGTTCCAACCAGGAGGGTCTCCTTGTTGGTGAGTGAGCTCATCGTCAACTGCCGTGGGCGCTAGCTTCCTTCTGCAGAGTTTCTGCACAGCAGCACCTGGAGGAGTGTTTGGGGGAGTAGCTTAGAGAGGGGCACGCACACTGTGGGGCGGGGATCTCGGACAGTCCAGCCTGGCACAGGGGTCACCGGCTCGTTCCTCTCCTCAGAGAGCAGACACTGTCTGAGGAACCCGCAGCAGAGCTTCCCGATGCCCCCAGTGTTGCCCGGGTCCGATAGCCGTGCCTTCCAGGTCCAGCCGTGTGACACAGGGTGGTGTGGCTGGCCTGACTCTGCTGAAGGGCCTGTCTTGCAGGACTGGCCTGTGCCCACACCAGAGGGACTGTGCCTTGACTTCAGACCCTGACTTCGAGGCAGGCTGTGGAGGGATCAGCGTGTGGACGGGGTCAGACTCACCCTGGCTTCTTAGGAGCCAGCTGACCTCAGGCGAGTTGTCAGTGTGTAGCCCCGTGAAGTTCACGTCTGCCTGGAAACTCAGAATGGGGGCTTGGCTGGAAATGGGGTCTATGCAGATGACATCGAGGAAGGCATCACAAGGTAAGATAACCGTGGATCAGGATGGGCCTTGAAGCCAGTGACAGGTGTCCTTTGAGAGAAAGAAGAGGAGTGTTGGCAATACAGAGGCACAGAGAAATAGCCCTGGCCAGTGATAGTGAAGGAGGAGGTTGGGCTGATGCAGTCACAAACACATGGCTGGCACCAGAAACTAGAAGTGCCTGGAAAGACCTGCCCACGTTGCCTCAGGAGGGAGCTTGGCCTGCCCACACCTTTATCCCAGACTTGTGGTGTCCAGAACTGGAAGAGAACAAATTCCTGTTGTCTTAAGCCCCCTATTTGTGGTCATTTGTTCTGACCATTCTAGGACCTCATACACTTGCCTCCCACCCCCATTTTCTCACCTTTTCGGTCAGTTCAGTTGCTTAGTCGTGTCCGACTCTTTATGACCCCATGGACTGCAGCATGCCAGGCTTCCCTGTCCATCACCAACTCCTGGAGCTTGCTCAAACTCATGTCTTATCGAGTCGGTGATGCCATCCAAGCATCTCATCCTCTCTTGTCCCCTTCTCCTGCCTTCAGTCTTTCCCAGCATCAGGGTCTCTTCCAGGGAGTCAGTTCATGGCATCAGGTGGGCAAAGCATCTTTGCGGTGAGGGACAGTCATAGAACTACTGGAGCTGTTCTGAGGACACCCTGGAGGAGTCGTGTGGGCTGGCTCCCTCAGCCAGCTGGATTGA